TGGTAAAGCTTTCATGACTTTCAATAAGTATTCTTGTAATTTATCTAATATATAAAAATTAATATTTGTTTGTTCGTGTTTTATGCGCTGCCTTACCGTTCATCAGATTACGCTATAATTATAGCAACATATTGCTTGCACTTCCGCAAATGTTATAGTGGCGCTGTTGTAGAATTCAGATATCACCCGTGCGAAGCCGTGGCAGATCGCTAGTATTGAATAAATATGGCAATGGTAGACATATATTGTATCGTAAAAGTATTAGTCTTAGATTTAGGAGTCATTATCCAGGGAGAAAACAGCAATAGGCAATCTTTCCTACAATCGGTGCATTTATAAACGAAATGGGCTCTGGCTAAAAAGTGCTGTAAATTCATTCTAAAATGCTAACTATAATCTCCAAAGATTTGTAACAGTTGTATACAGCATGTTAGCTGATACATTCTTCTTATCAGGCAGCAGATTAAATAGGCTAAAATAGATTTTATTGTATTTAAAAAATTTGCACCTTCTAATTCTTATGTGTTCCCATTTTCTGTATGTACAATTATTTTACAAAACAAGCATAAGACACTCATGTTAATATAATCTATTTGTGAAATGGAAAATTTTATAAACTGAAGGTAGCCGGTACTTGAAGATCGTTTTAAATTTTTTTTGTTTTTAGATATGCTTGAAGCGTTTTAATTAGGAGAAATTTATTAGAATAGTACACCTCCTTGTAACAGATGGTTACATTATGAGAGTAACGAGCCGTTCTATTTGTAAATTTAAATTGAGAATCTTCGGCTGGTTGATAGCGTAACGGCTAATATTTTGAGTGTAAACAGTATCGATTGTATATTTTGCGGCGTGGTGAATTTGTTGCTAAAAGCGGAAAAAAAGTATGACAGAGCAAGTAACGTTCTAATAAAGATATTAATAGTTACTTTGCAACCATCCGCTCAATTAAATGTTGTGTGTTACCTAGTTTAAAGAGCACCTCCAGCCCTCCCTCAATTGCGTGCACTAATCATCTATCTATCATATATATCATCAAATAAATCGGCTGACCGCCGCCATAGAGTCTACATCACCTGAAGATGCCTCATGTAGAGGCGAAACACGTGTCGTATTATCGTCGTTGGTGTGTCTTTCCTAGAATAGTGGTGTTGGGAGTAGTGGTGCTGAGATTAACGGTGACGGGATTAGTGCACGTAATTAAGGGAGGGCGGGAGGTGCTCTTCAAACTAGGTAAGACACATCATTTTAATATGTTTATTATAATGGATTTCCGCAAAGTAACGCCTGATTCTATCAATTAAATAACGTTCTATATTGAAAGTACAAAACAATAAAAAATATGTAATATTAAAGGTAATAAATGTGTTGCGATGTGTGCTCGAGTAAATCGGCCCCAACAAGCTGCACCTGTTCGCAAGTATGACGCATGTGGCAGACCACACCCTCCTCAACCATTTTAAAGGGAAGTGGACGACACGTCACACAACGCCGCTGTAGTGACCAGAATCAGACGAAGACCTTTTTTATTGATTACGAGATATGAAATATCAGCGTTCAGGGCTTCAGGGTGTATTTCATAGGTACAGAAGGATTTGCTTGGCAAAGGGATTGTATATCGTAGTAATAGACGTCTCGCAGCATATGACGCAGCCCCCGTCACAGATCTGGATATTATATATATATATATATATATATATATATATATATATATATATATATATATATATATATATATATATATATATATATATACATATATACGTCTAGTGTAAGACTTCATATTTTTTAATAGAATATGGTGACAAACGAGCACACAGACGACCTGATGGTAAATGGATGCTGAGCCCCATAGACATCTACATTTATCCTCGATTAGGTCATATGTAGATGCATCATCATCCCTGAAGAATAAAATGGAATGCCTCGTTTCCAGTTTAAAATTTCTCCGGTTCTCTAAACTCATACGAAACACAGCAGCATCAAGCCGATATTTTACGCTGGTATTCTGTGAGAGCGTGGTTTAACCCTGGTCCACCATAATTTTGCTGGAGCTTGGCTCTACCAGGTTTACTTTTAGAAAATCTTATTTCAATTTTGGAAATAAATAAATCTCTAATTTTTTATTCATTTCCTGATGAACATTTTGCCTGTAGTTAATAAAAGTATGCTGTGACAAAAATATATCGCACTTTTTAAATTTTATTAAGCGTCTGCAGGTTTTCTCAAAACGCTACACCGCTCAATTATTATTAAGCGATATCTATACACAAATAAAACAACGTCTGGTTACTTTGATCGGATCTCATAATAATTCGATGCATAAATATACTTCTCACAGTTGAGTACATCCCACGTGTGTAATAATAATTAAGCGTCGTAATGCAACCGGCGGGTTAGATCTTGAGTACCGCCTCATGCGTGTACTGATTTATGTTTATTTATTATGAGGTTAGCCTTGATATAATTGCATATATGATACACTAATTAATAAATACACTGTAAGACTAGCTGCTTACCCGGATTTAGTGGGTAGGATATATAATGTTGCATTCTTTAGATTTAAGGGAATTATAGGCCATTTTATTTATCAATTTTTCATATATACTAAACAAATCTTCAAGTTTTTTAGTTAAAATATGGCGACAGTAGCCTATTGGTAGCGTGCGTACCGCGAATTCTCAAGGTCGTGGGTTCGAATCCGCCATTCAACTACTGTCGTAAACTACTCTTAACACAAGCATTTTAAGCTTAACAGGAGTGGTTACAGGGAATATTAGTAATGTACCTAATAGCGTTACTAGTATTTAAATATATATTAAACTTCCTGGCATTGCTCTATATCTGTTCGTAAAATTTCATCATAATCCGTTCAGTCATTCCGAAGATAGAAGCCAGTTATACCAATATTACAAACAGACACAATAATTTTATTTATAAGCATAGATGTACAAATGATGCTATTCTTAAAAAAATCATTGGATGTAAGTAATCTACGTATAATGTATTATGATAAGCACATGTAGCGACTTAGATCTTCTTCATCTGGTCGTCAACAACCCACTACTATAAGGGATAAAGCGATCTGCCTCGTGAAGGATTTGCTATAAATCCTACGTTCCCAAGGTAGTTAGCGGCTATTATCGTCATGTCGCAGTACCTAAAAGAAGTCTAGCTAGTAACATTATTTAATCTGTGATCTAGTGTCTTTGATGGTGCGCTGCTTGCATTTTCAATTCAAGGAATTTGATATTTGGCGAAACGAAACAACATACGTGATATAGGAAAACCACGCTATTATATCATCCAAATACAGTTATTTCTAACAGTCTTGATATAATGAGCTCGTTTGTGTGTATAAACATAAATAATGAACGAAGTTCGAACCAAGAAATCCATACTAATATAATTAGGTAATCGCTCTCCAGCTAAACTGCAATCATTGACTATATCTAATAACACGTTCGAAGTGAATTATTGCTATTAACACACCGCAGGCGCTTCGCCATTTAACCGATTTTCAACACTAATAATTTATTACATACTTAAAGTTTTAGATTGTATTACATAAATACATTTCAATTGTGGTGTATTTGACATTAATCGAGATTTTGAAATAAAACATCAGATTAATAGCGACTATACAAAATTGTAACGTTGCAGTATTTTTACTTTTATGAAATTGTTTAACTATCGTAATTGTTAAAAATTAAAAATATAAAACGCATACAGAACACAAACGTTATCTTTATAGTTGTCAGTAAACTGATAATGCAAGCACAGTCTATAAAAGCCCGCAAAAAATTAGATGAACCCTCACGTACCTACATATTAAAAGATAAGTTCCATGGTTCTGTCAAACCTGAAAGTATGTATAAAGAAACTATTATAAATATTCTAAGTTATCAACACTAATAGGCTCATAGCCTAACCACGTAATATAAAAAAACAAGTTGTTTTTTTTAATGTATCATTATATCAGTTTATATCAGTGCTCATAGCGCACTACGGTAAAAAATAAATACATACATTTTTCGCGCCATCTGTTGTACAGAGGAAAAACTATATTCAACATTTATTAACGTCTTAATAAATCAAGAGATGGCGATGTAAAGCACAATAAAGTGAATAAAACGAAAACAAATAAATTACATTATTACATAACCTTGCCTAAAGGACCTCTTTTTTAATAATTTAATTTAGTTATTATAATATATATTTTTAAGGTTTTTAGTATTAGTATTAATTGTAAATATTATAATTTAATTTCATTAATTATACTTATATTTGTTAATTTTATGCTTAAAAAAAATAAATTACATAAAAAAAATAACATTATACATTTGGCGCGCCGTCTATTGTGCAGAGGAAGAACTATATTCAACATTTATTTATCTCTTAGTGAATCAAGAGATGGCGATGTAAAGCATTAATGCTTTAGTTTATGGTGTAGAAGTATTTAGTTATTCATTAAAAATTTAGTTATCTGAAAAAAAAGCAAAAATAATTTGACATTCGTCCATAAAACTAATACTTTACTCTCATAATAAAATTTAAAGGATTTAATTGTAACAGGTGCTAGGTGGTACAAATCTAGATGTAGGTATTTAAAATTTATTGTTATGGACAAAATAATTTTAGCAAATTTTACTAACTTTTATTTATATTATACCAACTTATTTATGCATACATAAGTGTAATATGCATAGTAAGTGTTAATAAAATTTAAATTTTTCTACGTAATAATAAAAGTTGTACAATATTTACAATAATAAAAGTAAAATTTGTCATAAAGCTATAGCATAATATATTTTTTTATAGAGCAATAATTCCAATTGCCTACCTAAATATCTAAATACCTACTTTAGTTGGCAATACCACAGCCTAAATAAACGACTGTGTTGTGACGTCGTGCTGCGCAGCGCAGCTATTTTCGTTTATGATAGGCGGCCGACATTTTGTTTTGGCTTTGTGACGCAAGCGAAAACGGGAAGTTGAAAATGCCATTGAACGCCGTCGGATGGACTACAGAAGAGGACGAGAGACTCGTTGAATTAGTGAAACCACAGACATGTTTATATAATTATTTCGACCCCTCAAGGAAGAATATTCTCGCTCGAGAAGCAACATGGCAAGAAATAGCTCAAGCCCTGTTTAAACCAGGTAAGACGTCTCTCGTAGAACGTGTATTGGTTCACCTTGTGCTGCATGACATAACTGCAGAGCGTACAAACTATTTGTTATTTGTTACTGCCAAACATTAACCTATTTTAAAATACCTAAAAAGGATTTGAAATGAGCGCGGTACTCTAAATAGAAAAAACTTCGTTTAAAATAATGTGAATAATGACAAAAAATAATTGATTAAAGGTAAAGTGTACATTTGTTGTCTTATTTTATGTTTGAGGTATTACTCAAAGTTCACAAATAAATATTAAAAGTAATATACCTAAAATGCAAGTACCTAATCTTTAAAGTAGGAGATTAATAAAGAAAAACAATATGTAAGTATATATATCCGATAATGTAGACGTCAAATATAAATAGCAAACCAAAATAGATGAGAGCTGGTTATTACTTGGAACTGAAAGGTATGAATTTATGTACTTAGAACAACCAATCAGCCAATCCTGTACCCAAAAAGCAGTCCCCCAGTTAGATATAAAAATCCTCCATTGAAATAAAAATTGTGTACAACTATACATTTTCGTAAATATCATTGTCTTCTATTTAAGTTGAAGAATGCAAAAAACGGTGGCGTGGCCTCCGTGATGGCTTCATGAGAAGCATGCGATTGGGCACTATACACAAGACGAAAGCCAACATTTTTGAGAAGTTGCAATTCTTAGCTGGCACTATACTAGATAATTCAGAAGATATTGAAAAGGAGTCCAATACAATGGATAATGAAACGATAGAAGAGGAGACAATTTTAGGATCAGTGGGTTCAGAGCAAGTTATTACCGATAATCAGGAATACTATGAGGTAAGCGCTTTCATAATATCACCAAACTACACTTCTGTAATATGAAAGATTGTATTAAAATGTGAAAGTTTGTATTTGGGAAAAAAATTCAATTATATCTATTAGCTATGACTTGGGACATCACCAGGCAAGAGCAAATGATAATAAGTTTTATTAAATAGCACAAATACAATATGTTGCTATGAAAATCAACATTTTAATGTACAAGAATCCCAATAATCTCATTAATATCAGATATAAAATATCCAGGCTGATAACTGTTGTCTATCTGAGGCTATATAGAATAAGGGTGACAAACAAGCACATAGTCCACCTGATGGTAAGTGGATGCTGTTGCCCATAAAAACCTACATCTATACTTGATTAGGAATCTAAATGAAAATACATTTTCACCCATGAAGACTAAGATGAAATGCCTCGCTAGCGGTAAAAATGGTCCCTGGTTCTACACTGACCACCATGTTTTTTGCTCTTCGGCTTTTTATTGGGCTCTCGGCGTTACAATACTGTCAGTACAATAGGACAGTAGTTGCAGTCTAAGAAATTAGGTGGCAATAAATAAATAATAAATTAAATTATTCCAGGAATAGAAAAAAAATTACTAAACTTCAAATATATTTCTGCAATGCAATAAATCTTTAATATTCTGCCTATTATATTTGGAACCTGTATTGTTCTTTTTATGGAAAACACACGGGCAACAGTGACCATACATAGTGATTACTTAGAACAGTAATGAGACCCTCATTAGCCAATAATAAATTTGTAATAACAGTGTCATCTCATACCTTTAGCACTGCTTATGGCTATCAGTCTTTGTATTTTCCATGTATTATAAATATAAAACGGATGATTGTACTACCCATTCATTAGACATAGACATAAGACATAAACACTCACGCCTGTCACCCAGAGGGGTAGGCAGAGACTACGGACTTCCATTTGGCACGATCCTGACATTCCTCTTTCGCCTCCTTTACGTCCATATATCTACACATACATGCTCGTCGGTTAAGGGTACTTTTAACGTGGCCCATTTTCAAAATATCGCCAATTTGGTCGATAAACTTTTTTCTAGGACGTCCCTTCCCGACTCTGCCGTTCACATCTGCCACATAAATTTGCTTTGTCACTCTTTCCTCATTCATTCTTTCTACGTGACCAAACCACCGAAGCATTCCTTTCTTAATCCTGGTCACAACATCATCTTGCATACCACATTTATCTCTTATCACGCAATTTCTCACTCTGTCATTCAGATTCAACCCTAGCATACTCCTTAAAGACCGCATTTCTACAGCATTTATTCTACTTTCGTGCTTCTTCTGCCACATTAGACATCTCATGGAATTTTCTTAAGCCTCTTATAAATGTAAGTTGCAAGTTGAAAATTATAACATTCAGGTATGAGATGAGTTGATAATTTCTTATGTCACCAACTGAAGCACTAACTGAAGTACTGCTGGCATTACAATAATAAGATAATGATTTCCTTTATATATATTCCAGATTACAGTTGTTGATGGTCCACAAGAGACTCAAGTTAAGCAGAATGCTTTCATTAAAATATTACCAAAGGTGGAACAGAATACTGGGGAGCCATCTAAAAAAGTGAGCAGACGGGGTGCTGGTAGAAAGAGAAATATGCCTGCTCCTACAAATGTACCTCCAGTTAAGATACTTCCAAAGCCATTAATTATGAATGGGCCAAAAACCTATGTGCGATATGTGGAAGACCCAAAAACCGCAAAAACTCCTGAACAAAGGTCCCAAGTTATAGATAAGTTAATAGAGAAAGTTCTTAAGGAAAACACAAATGAAGTTGATGTATTCTTCAGAAGCATGGCAGCTAGTGTTAAAAAATTACAACCAAACTTAATTCCAAAAGTGAAAATGGAAGTCTGCAATGTTATAGCCAAATATGAAATGCAAAGTTTTGACAAGAATTTTCAGAATAATATGTAAATTTCAAGTGGTTTTAGCTATATGATTAAATAAGTGTGATAGGACTAAAACACTTTAAAACTTCTAAAACACTACAAATTATTATAGTGTGCAAAATGTGTATGATTTGTATTACAAATCATGGTTTTTGTATCTTCAAACACAAAGTACCAGAAATTTAACTCTTTTTTCTCTAATAACTAATTAAAGACCATCATTTGACTGTACAAAAACAACACTAAAATTTTAGAGTGGAGGCAAATTTCATGAGAATTCGGGAGATTATTCTTTACCATAGGAGATGTGAGACTGAATTAGCACTTTAATTGCAAATAACATCTTCAGTTCCTAAATTGATATTGGTAGAATTCTATTCTTTATAGTATGTATATACAACCCAAGATACTACTGGAATTGATTGTAATTAAAATTTTACTGGTAACTCTTAAATTTATTATTTAAATTATTGATTTGGTTGCCTGAATTATTACAAACTCACTGATGAAAGAAATCGTGGTGAAGATACCTGCACGTCAGAAAAATTTGTAATTTCGAGTACATTTAAAATATGCCAACACATGTGGGAGCGATGGGTTCTCCTTGCTGCAAAACCATAACTTGACTACCATGAAACTTAAAACAGCTGTTGTTGGCTTGTTTTCTAAATATGATTAAGTTTAATAAGGTTCTAACAACGAAATTATCTTTTAGGTCTGGGTAGATTATCTTAATATAAAAATTATGTGTCACATTGTTTGTCCGCAATGAACCCCGAAACCACTAAACTGATTTTAATGAAATTTTGTAAATGTGTATTGATTGCTTCAACTTGAGAGATAGGAAAGTTTTATCCCAATAAGTGACCCTTAACACTTCTTATTGTTAATTTAAAGAGTTTTTATAAGGACCAGTGGTGGTCGGTAAGGGCAGAACCAAGTCTGTCTAGCCAGCTAGTAAATATACACATATCAACAACCGCTGGTATGAAGTTCAACCCAACATTTGCGTTTAAACACCAATGATAGGATTTTGAATATTTTTTATGACTACCCCTGTTTTTACCTCTGCCCAAGTTGATCCTCCATATTATCATCAAATGTTTTAAGGATATATATTGTGCAAACGATTGGTGGTCAGGTATACCTATACCTATCCTCTGTAATATTTCCTCTGCATATGAGAGCTTCCTCAAATATACCTACTGAATTGTTAGGTTTGGAGTGATGGTCAAATGCAGTTAAGCTATATTAAAGCACTCTACTGCATATGACTGTGCACAATTTGTATAACACATTTAAGATGATGCAGTTATGAGTGGTTTTTTTTTGTGAAATTATTAATTTATCAATTCATGTCCCTGTACATTTGTAAATAATTTAGTAATGTGTAATACAAGAGTATTACACATTACTAAAATTGGTCTTTGTACATCATACACAGTAATATTTGCCATAGTTGCCACACTTGAGGGGCGGATTGGCAACCACAATTTCTTTATTATTCTGGTAGTTATCAGGAAGATAATGCTGCCCATCTCCTGTTTCACCTCTTACGACAACCACACTATATGGGGTGGTACATATTCCTACACCTCCTAGTAATATAATTTTGTCTTATATCCTCTCTTTGAGGCAATCTATAGGGTGAGGCCTACATTCAGCAGTGGAGTTTTGAAAGACTGTAATGACGATGATGATGTACAGTGAATAAATTTTTTTTAATTGCCACAGGTTGGCTTTCTTCTCAAAGTAATTAATTATATGCTAGGATGACAAATGATTATTCAGTTATAAATAGATTAAAAATTTAAGATTTAATCTTAATGTCAACTTTAATTGTTGGTACTTGTATTGTATATAATTTATTTGAGTAATATTTGTAAATAAAATATGTCAAGTAAATATGTAATAAATATTCTAGTAATTTATTGTCTCCCGTAACTTAATAAAGTGAAACTTTGTAAGTGGGGCTTGAGTTAGCAGAAAACTTTTAGGATTTATACTAAGGCATCGATTTTTTGCAATTCGTGAAGCTTAATAAAACCTAATAGACTTCTTTATCTCAAATTTTTCGTTATTTACTTATTGGAATAAAGGAATTTGTTACCTAAATAACTGAGACATGATATATTATTGTAAATATATTTCTGTTTGTATATTATTTTGTTGTTTCTACATCTAATTTTCAGGTTAATTAATAAGAAATCATGTGGTAATTTCTTACACATGTATTATTATATGTAATTAATAATACATGTATGTATGTTACATACATACATGTACATTATGCTTACACATGTATTATTAATTAACAATCACACATGTAAAAGTTAACGGACACATGTAACATTTTATTCTAAATCCAGGAAAATGTACAGGAATAGTTTTTTACAAAATTTGAAAATTATATTGAACAATAAATAAATAACATTACCATATTATAATACATTCTATAATTATTATTCATGTTTTCCTTATTATTTTAAATATTATTTTTGGTAAACTGTTATTATTGATAAATAGATAGAGCCATTTTTGAGTCACAAACTGATTCGTTTGATACGATCCGTACGATGCGAGCCCGTGGATACGTAGTAAATAGGCCTTTAAATCGTAAGTATTTAAAATATGTATTTGAACCAGTATATTGCTTTATAAATGAATTTTTTTCGCGTCAAACGTTTGTATGCGTTGTATTGGTGGCGCGATAAGTGTCACTCCGCATTCACACCGATTTTTACAATGAAAATGTAAATGTAAAAAATCATTTATATATATACATATTACATATTATATAATCACGCTGTAATCGCTGGGTCCCGATTTTGTGATTTTCTTATTTGGAATTGAACTTTGTGATTATGAGTAATTTTGATCCATGAGACCTATAGTATTTGTTAATAACTTGACTACAGCGCCACCGATTGAATCCTAGCCTAGCTGTGATATGCACCATAAGTCTCGACAAAATAAATATGTGTTATATTTTGTGAAATATCCTCAATCGGTCATAAAATAATTTTTAGCGTGGAGCTTTGTTCGAGCACACTGAATTATCTAGAATAAAAAACAAAATGCAGATGCGTTTCCTCTTTTTGTACTGTTGAAGTGCCTCATTAGCAACAACAAGGATCCCGATTTCTGTACACTCACCATACAAAACACAGCAGCGTTACGCTACCATTTTACACTGGTATTCTGTGAGCGTGAGGGTGTTCCTTTCACAGTCGAGTCGACCCATTTGTATAACAGCTGCAGTGAGGCTTTTTTTTTCACGTTTACAGTACTATAGCTACTCGGTAGTATTCAGTTATTAATATCATTATCATTACAGCTCACATCACAAGTCCACTGCTGAGCATAGGCCTCCTCAAAGGAAAGCTACAAACTACGTTATTTCTGAACCATCTGCATTTATCGGCTTCCTACATCTCGTACCACTAGAGGGAGCGACGACCTGGTAAGAGATTATTTTAACGTGAAAAAAAAAACAATTCCTTTATTGAGTTTTCCTGTATTCTTTTGTTGGGTTTTATTACGGAAAAATCATCCAGACGCTTCAATTCATCCCATCTACAATATAATGCGACATACAATGGGCTCACAGCGGCTAATTAAAATTGATGTTTACTCCCCCATAGCAATATTGAATGACTGTGCAAAGCGAACGACCATTATTTATATATATATATATGTTGTGTTTTTATATTTACATTTATGTATACATATTTTCATGTTTTATGGCATTATTTCTAACATACGAGTATGAGAGTATGTTAGGGCTGAATCTGAGTGACAGGGTGAGAAACTGTGTGATAAAAGAAGAGTGTGGTTTGCAATATGATGCGGTGACCAGGATTAAGAAAGGAATGCTTCAGTGGTTTGGTCATGTAGGAAGAATGAATGAGGAAAGACTGACAAAGCAAATATATGTTGCAGAAGTGAATGGAAGAGTCGGAAAGGGACGTCCTAGGCGAAAGTTTGTCGACTAAATTGGCGAAATATTAAAAATGGGCCAAATTAAGAGTATTCTTAACCGACGAGCATGTATGCGTGGTATATGGATGTGAAAAGGCGAGAGAGGTGTGTCAGGATCGTGCTAAATGGAAGTCTGTAGTCTCTGCCTACACCTCTGTATGACAGGCGTGAGTGTTTATGATATTTCTCTGCTTAGCTAGTCATTTTATATGCAATAAATATTTAAAAATAAAAACAAAAAAAAATATGCGATGCTAACGCAAAACGTATTTTATAGGACATAATTATCATGACATTAGGTACATGGGATTTCGTTAACTTGCATGCACTACTACTGTTAACCGTAAGCCGTAACGACCTATGAAAAGTTCTTTGCTGAACTTAGACCCCCGCTGTAAATTTCCTCATAGAGGGCATATCTGTCATAGCCTGGCGGTCGAATTGGCGACTAAAGTTTTTTTTTTTAGTTGTTAATGGGAAAACGCCGCTGCCCATCCCCAGGTTCGTTCTCCTCTGTCGCCTCTTACGAAACCCACGCGATGATATCGGATAGTGGATATTCTTGCACCACCACAACTACCAATGCACCAAAGGTAATTTTTTTATGCACCAATTCAAGTAATTTTTTTCTCGCCCTTCATTACACTATCGGCCAATTAGCTCGTAGATTATATCATCGATTTTTAATGTACTTAAATTCGCAAACCAAATGCGACCACAGCAACAAAAGCTTTGATATTGCAGCCAAGTATCAACGATACCCAAATTCGAAGACTAGATAAAGATATAATGATACAAGGGAGATGATGGAGCGCTTACCCAAATACCTTTTACCAATTGCCTTTTATACATGGTAGAGCCACGCAGCAGCTATATTATGGTTGTAGCATGAATGGGTCGGCTTGACCGGGGAAGGACCATGCTCTCACAGAATAAAAGTATAGTAAAGTTACAGCCTATATACGTCCCACTGCTGGGCACAGGCCTCCTCTCATTTCTGAGAGGGTTTTAGGGCAAGGAATAGTCCGCCGCGCTGCCCCAGTG